GGACGTGATCGATGAGCAACCTTTGGCTTCCACCCCACCCCCACAGGACTGTTTGGACAGCAGTGGGCTTAGTCACTGCCCTTTAAATAGCATGAAAGGGCCTCACGCTGGCCTGTTTTGTTTAAGGAGATTACATCGGCGCTGTGCACTCTGCCACAGGGGGTGCGAGGCCGCTCACCCGAGAACAGAGGAGCGGAGCGGGCGGCATGTCCCTCAAAGCAGATGTTTGGAGGAAAAATAGATGTAATCAAAACCAGGGAGGATACGATTACTCAGACCCTCAGACACACACTCGATGTGCAAGGCCTGGGCACAACTACACACACACACACGCACACATGCACACTCACACACGCACACACACCACCTATGGCCATACCCATTCATGTGTATTTGCAGGATAATGCTTGCTTACGCACGCAATAGCACACACATCCCACTTGCCTGCACAAGTGCGCATGCTCTGCAGGCAAGTACTCGTGGGTCCCTACCCCCACACCCATTGACAACTGCGACCATGCCTCATGCCCGAGGGCACACTCTGGGCACACGGAAGGAGCGCCCACGCAGAGGCACCCGGCACTCTCTTCCCCCAATGGCTTCAGAAGTCCCTTCTCTTTATTTATTTTTTAAAATATATTTTATTGATTTTTTTACAGAGAGGAAGGGAGAGGGATAGAGAGTTAGAAACATCGATGAGAGAGATTCATCGGTCAGCTGCCTCTTGCACACCCCCAACTAGGGATGTGCCCGCAACCAATGTACATGCCCTTGACCAGAATCGAACCTGGGACCCTTGAGTCCACAGGCTGATGCTCTACCCACTACCGGTTTCGGCAGTCCCTTCTCTTTAAACCACAGTCCTAACACGTTCTCTTTAAATCCTAGTTATAAACACTCGCAGGCACCTTTGGAAACCTCTCAAGGGCCCTCACGTCCAACAAGGGTCAGGCTACATTAGAGTGACGCCTCTGGGTTGAACCAGGACAAGTGGGCAGAGAGGGTCAGGGGATAAAGAAAGCTTTATCCAAACCCAACAGCCAGGATGGACCCGGCAGCTCCCGGAAGAGGCTCAGGCCTGGAGGAGCTCCGGCAGAGGCCCCGGGCCCTGGGGGCCGCTGATTGAGAACAGAACCTGGAACTGAAAGCTCCCACTTCATCAGCAGCGGGCGAGGGAAGCAGCATTCACCTTGGGCTGTCTGAAGGGCAGGCGGTACCGCCATGGCCACCAGGGCCTGTGCACCTTCCATGGGCCCGTGGTGCTCTTAGGCACCTTACTGATTCTTCTGGGTGGCCTGGGGGTCATGTCCACATCGGGACATTCCATGGGGAAGATGCAGATCAGGATTTCAGGGTATTGGGCCCCACAGCCGGAGACAAAGCCCACTGTGGAAGGGGTGTCAGTCAGCACAGCACCGTTCGAAGTCCTTACGCGACCTGACTGGGGGAGTGGAGGGGGGCTGGAGAGGAGCCTAACCCAGAGGCCAGGCCAGTGACCCGGCCCCAGGCAGGGCTTGCTGCTCCTCGGCCTCATGCTGGTGCCATTGTCCTGAAGACAGTGGTTCTGCAGCCTGGCCATCGGGCAGACTCCCAGGGGACTTCTCCACTCCAGCACAGCAGCCTGGTGGGTGCGGAGCTGGCTCCTGGCAGATGCCCGGCTGGGGTTCCTGGACATGGACATGCCCAAGCCCGTCTCCGTGCCTCTGCCACCTGGGCCCGCCCTGGGAGATGGGGGGGGGGGGGAGGTGGTGTTCCAGGAGCTCTATTTTCAGTGCCATCTTACTGAGAAGGGCACCCAGGTCTCAGGATGCCATGCTGCTTCTCCACCAGCCCCTTGGGATCATCCAGCCAGAGAACAATTTGCTGGCACCATCCCTGGCATCCTCCTGTCAGAGACAGGCTCCATATACCCGGGGCCACCTGAGGAGCAGCAAGGGGAACTGAACCTTCAGTCAGGAGATGGGAAACTCCGAGGGGGGCAGCCGACCCGCAATGTCCACTGGGCTGTATTGAGGGGTCTGTAGGGTTAGAACCAGGAGCAGGGCGTCAGGTCTCCAGGACACAGACAGGGCTGGACTGCAGGACGGAGGTCCAGCTGCCAGGGGCAGTGAGTTCTGTCATCAAAGCCAGGGCAGCGGCACTGGGTGGAGATGCTGGGGTGGAAGGAGACTGAGCTAGATGCCCCAAGTCCGAGAGGTTTGGACCGAGAACCTGAGAGGGCCTCGGCTTGTCATGCCACCAGCTGGGTGGGCACAGAACCTCGGGGAAAGTTCCTTTGCTGCCAAAGGACATCAAGCAAGGCGACCACTAATCAGGACTGAGATTGGGAGGCTCTCCTTCCTCTTTGAGCACCAGAAGCATCTGTTTGCCAGAATTCCCGCATCTCCTGCCTTTCCGGTCGGCGGACGTTCGCCTGGACACAGACATGCCTGCCCCCCTCCCCATCCAGATCCCAAGGGGAAGGTCCATAGTCCCAGGGTGGGAGGGATTCGCCACCCTGATGAGGTGCGACACCCTCTCTGGCTGCTTCCCCTCACCCCCCTTCCCCGTTCCCGAGGGGTGTGCCTGCCCCATCTGCAGACGAGACTGATGTGAAATGAATCCCACGGAGTCATGGCAGACCTCCCAGCCCTTGGTGTGGTGTCTGCATACAGACCGTGCTGTCTCCCCATCTCCCCCCTCACGCCCTCTCAGTGGGTGGCTGGAGGTGGGGAGACTGAGTTCTGACTCCTCACCATGGAAGACTGGCTGTTCTGCCACCTCCCCACGGTGCCCCATGACACGCTGAGCAGGGCTCCTTGGCTATGGGAGGCCTGGTTCCTCTGCCCCTACGCTCTTCTGCTCTCCTCTCCTCGGGGAAGGACCCGGGACTTGAGAGGGTTAGCGCACATTCCCCATGCTCTCTGGCCTCAACCGCCCCCCCCCCCCCCCCCGATTAAAACCAGGACTTTGGTCCCTACCAACCATTCGTTTCCATAACATGGAGTTCCTTCTGCTCAGCCCGTGAGGCTGTGTGGGGCGGCCCCAACCCCAGCCTGGGGGCCTGAGGCTGCACTAAGGGTCCACAGGGTCATGAGATGGGGCCCAGGGAGCCCAGTTCGCGGGCAGGAGGGGGTAGGGGCTGCCCCCTGCCAGTCAGACCTACAGGAAGTTGCATAACAGAGATGTTTATTTTTGGTGAGGCTGAGTGGGATTTCTTCTCTTTAAAAAAAAAACAAAAAAAAAAACACCCAAAATATAAAACTTATTTGTCTGCCAGGAAGATAAATATCTCTGCTGAAAGCTCTTGGCCCAGCTGCCAGCGGCAGTTCACATGAAGCTGTCACCAAGACCTGGCGATCTGTGCCAGGCTCACATGGTGTCATGTGTGATCCCGTGGGCCAGCCCACCCCCTGGGGGTGTCGGCACTGGCAGTGACCCCCTGAAATGTCCTCCTGGATCTGCTTCCAGGCTCCCTCACCTCCACCCCCTCATCTTCAGGGCCTCAGAGAGGGAGGTAGAATGACATGAAATGTCCCTCGCAGCTCCCCCCCTCGGCCCCCCCATGAAGAGAGCCCCGGGGTACCCACAAAGCCTGGAGCGAGCCTGAAGCCTCAGGACCTGGGCAGGGTCAGGACATCTGGGCCAGCGGCCTCGTCCCAACATGTACTGCCCACTGCTTGGGATGCGTCCCAGAAGAGGAAAGCGAGGGTCAGCGTGACCCTCATGCTTGTGGTGATCGGAGCCTGTGTGTGAAAGGTTCTGTCAGAGGCTGCGCACATGTGTCTCATCCATCTGTGATGTCATCTAACTCCAGCTACAGACAGGGACTGCGGCTCCGAGAGGGGCTCACACCCTGTCTGCAGATACCAGCCTGCTCCCTCCCCACAGGGCCACACACGCACTTGCACTCAGGTGCTCCGGCGAGCGTCTGCCCACTTGGCGGACTTCTCCAGGGCCAGTCCTCTGCTGTTGGCCAGCCCAGACCACCCTGGGAATAAGGACGCTGGCAGGAACGTGCACAGCCAGTCGGTACTGTGCCGCGTGCTTTACATGGTGGCCACTTCAATCCGACAACTACCCTATGAGGATACCTATCCTGCTGCCCTCGTCAGCAGGAGGAAACTGAGGCACAAAGAGGTTCAGTGAAGTGTCCAAAGCACACAGCTGGAGAGTCATCCCTGTGGGATTCATACCTAGGGTCGGGCTCCAGAGCCCTTGCTCCAACCCCAGAGGCCATTGTGTCTGCCCATGTGCTAATAGGGCTCTTTGGATGCAGACACACCACTCCCACCGGGGCCTCTGTCTCATCCCTGACCTGCATAGGTTGACTGGTCCTTTCCAGCTTCTAAGAACTGGTGGGCGGAGCCCCGTTCTGACAGAGAGCAGTGGCTGTGGGCCTCCAGCTTTGTGTAAATTAACCAGCCCCTCCCCCCCAACGGAGGGGCCCGGACACTGCTTGGCCAATTGGTGAGACCAGTGTGGAGGGCAAGGGATGTGGATTTTTGGAGAGGGATCCGCAATTCCTGCTGAACCTCCAAAAGACACCAGGCCAGGAAAAGAGGGGCACTTCCGTCTGCCTCAGCCTCTCCTCCTCACCCCAAGCTCAGTTGGTCCAGAAATGACAGATGAATGAGTTTTCCCTTCCATCTTGGGGGTCCAAGGCACTGACTCACACCCTCCATGCCCAAAGGAGAAGTTCTGGCAAGGGGGGGCCTTCTAGAAGGAGGAGACTGGGCTCAGAAGGGCGGGAATTAAAGGTCATAGATGTCATAATGACTGACCCATATTCACATAACATTGATGCTAAAAAGGGACCATTTTGAGATGATAGTAAAGTCTCAGAGAGGGAAAGGGACTTGCCCAAGGTCACCCAGCATGGTAATGGCAAGCCAAGATTAGAACCCAGGCCTCCTGACCTCACATCCAATGAGACAAGTCAGAGGATGGCACCTCTGACCCTCCTTGCTCTCTTTCTTGATTCAGTCACTGGTTTCTGACCTTGTTTCCTTCCCCCTCAGCCAAAGAGAGCTCCCTGAGTGAGCCAGAGTTGCCACCCGACTCTGATACCGTGGGGATGGACAGCAGCTACCTCAGTGTGAAGGAGGCTGGGGTGAAGGGGCCCCAGGACCGGGCCAGCGCCGACCTCCCCAGCCCACTGGAGAAGGCTGACTCGGAGAGTAACAAGGGCAAGAAGCGGCGGAACCGGACCACCTTCACCAGCTACCAGCTGGAGGAGCTGGAGAAGGTCTTTCAGAAGACCCACTACCCCGACGTGTACGCACGGGAGCAGCTGGCCATGAGGACGGACCTCACCGAGGCCCGCGTGCAGGTCAGTGAGGGTGCTTGGGGCGGGGGGGGGGGGGGGGGGACTGTGAGAGCAGGGCCTGCCCTTGGAGCTGAGCCTGCCGACTGTCCCTCAGCCTCACTGTCTTCACCTCGTCCAAGGAGAGCCCCAGAGGCTCCCAGCCCGCCCCTCATGGCCCTGCTTCACTTTAACATTGGGCTCCTCCCTTTGGTTGGAGCAGGAGTGGGAGAAGAGGGCCCTGGGGGGGGGGGGGGAAGAGGGGGCAGGAAGCTTGGAAGCTGTATTTGGGCTCTAAATGGTGTGAGAGTCTAAGTGGTTTCATAAAGGAGTAAATGACTAGGTTCTGCTAGAGAAGATCTGTCTCTTAGAAAGGAAACAGGGTAAACTTAAAGACATCACAGCAGCCCAGCTTAAAGACCAATCCAGCTCTTCCTTCTGCCCAAGATGGCCACCTACTCCTCTGTATTTCAGGTCCCAACTCTATATGCTTCCTTTGAGAAATCTTCTTGACCTTTATGGTGAAAGCAGAAGCCCTCTGCACTACCCAATCACACAACAAACACAATACAACACAATAAAATCCAGCACAACTCAATTCAATACAACTCAGCTCAACCCAAACCAACAAAACACAACTCAACACAACAACAACACAACAAAATCCAGCACAGCTTAATTCAGTACAACCCAACTCAACCAAAACCAACACAATGCAACACAACTCAACACATCTCAACCCAGCCCAACCCAACAAAATCCAACACAACTCAATTTAATACAATCCAACTTAATCAACACAACTCAACACAATGTAACTCAACTCAAACCAAGTCAACTCAACACAACACAACACAACACAACATAACACAACCAAACCAGGTCACCTACTGCCACATTATCCTATTTTATTTCCTTTGTAGAAATGACTGGCTTACATTATTTTGTGTTTGTCTCCTCTCACTGGAATATGAGCCTTTGAGAGCAGGTACTATGTGACTGTTCATCCCTGTATTCCTACCAATTAGAGAAAGCCAAAATCAGAGAAACAAAGGCAAAAAGTAAATATTTGTGGACCAGTTGACCTCATTTGTCCAGAGAGGGTGTCCCCGCCACTCTGTGTGAAATTACATACAGCAAAGAAAGAACCAGACAGGAAACCAAGACCTCTGAGTACCCCAAACAGGTGACAAAACTTACGCACTAAAGCTCAGGCCTCAGCTTCACACAGAGCATCATGCTCATCCTGCTTTCCACCCCAAAGCTTGTTAGAAATGGCAAATAAAATGTCATCAGATAGCAGGTTTCCCCCTCAGTGTGCTAGGGAAGTCAACAGCTTGAGGAAAAGGGGAATTTTTTTTCCTTTTTTTTTTTTGCAGCTCAGCTCAGCTCAGAAGGACTTTCAGTGCAGGGACAAAGAGCCCTGCCTTACTCAGCAGACCCCAAGGGCACCACCTGTGGCATTAGTTCACTAAGGAGTCTTATCAGAGCTCTTCCAAGGCGATACACGCTTCACCAGTCACACCAGGCGGAGGGAGAGACATTTGCAGTGCAGGCCAGAATCATGCTGTACGATGGCTAACATGGGAAGGACCGGCCGTTTCAATAAATACGTAGCCATCCAGAAGTGGTCTGTACCACAGTGATGTGAACAGGGGGGTTAAGCCTAAGCTCCCGAGGGCAGGCTGTTTGTTGTTTTCCGCTCTGCCCCCGAGTGAGTGTTTGGGGAAGGAAGGCAGGGCAGGTTTTACTGGGTTTCCAAAAGCCATCTCACACCCACTGTCGGGGATCACCGGCCACATGACCTCACATGCTCAGAGTCTGGCCAGGAACCCCAGAATCTGGCCTCAGCTCAGCAGATGGATTTGGCAGGAGGTGGAGAAGGGGTCGGCTGGAATGGAACATTCCTGTAGGTCAATGGTTCTTAATCTTTCTAATGCCGCAATCCTTTAATACAGTTCCTCATATGGTGACCCCAACCATAAAATTATTTTCGTTGCTACTTCGTAACTGTAATTTTGCTACTGTTATGAATCTTAATGTAAATATCTGTGTTTTCCGATGGTCTTAGGTGACCCTGCTAGTGGTTCTGTATAGCCTAAGACCATCGGAAAACACAGATATTTACATTACAATTCATTAACAGTAGCAAAATTACAGTTATGAAGTGGCAATGAAAATAATTTTATGGTTGGGGGTCACCACAACATGAAGAGCTGTATTAAAGGGTCGAGGCATTAGAAAGGTTGAGAATCACTGCTATAGGTGCTGTGTTGGTGTGAGATTAACCAGCTCATTTTCTGTGTAGGATGTGTGTACGTATATGTGTGCTGTATGTGTTCCTAACAAGTGGATGGAAGTACCCAGGGGTAGAATTCCCTTAGTATAGAAAGAAGGATGGCCCTTCCAGTACTAAACATGGAAATGACACTGGGGCATGCCGAACATTTTTCGGTCACCACTAGCCAGCTAAAATGGTATTCTCTCTGCACACACACGCACACACACACACACACACATCTATGCCTGCCCCACCAAAAGGAGTTGAGAAGTAGCTTATAATGGAAGATTCATTATTTTCACCTAAGAACAGGAACAATTTCATAAAATGGGAAGGTCATCATGTCAGAAATCTAGGCTTGGGATCATCGTTGCCACTGAGCACAAACTTCACCTCTGAGCTTCCCAGCAGCCAAGGCAGAAAGGGTTGCCTGTCTTCTGATCCAAAGGGGCGATCCTAGATTTGCAGGGTGTTAGTGCTGGAGAGGATCACCTGGTCCTCTCGTTTGATGACAAGGAGCAAGCGGCTGGGGAAGAGAGTGATTGTGGTCCGGGGACTCGGGAACAGGCCGCGGTGGCAGTGCTGAGACTAGGATCTGAGACTCGCGGTTCCAGCCCGGGGCTTCTTTCACTTCAGTTTGCTGTCCTAGGACTCGGGCCAGGTTGCTCCGAGACGTCTTTGTATGAAGGCCCTGGCAGGGTGGGTGGGATGTTCATGTGCGTCAGACCTCTGGGTTGAGCCCCGAGCCTGGCAGTGCCCTGGGGGCAAAAGGAATAGTGGCGGAACCCCCTGCCTGCCTCCGCTCAGTGTGTTTGGGGCCCACCACCAGCTGGTGGGAAGCCCGGTGCCTGGGTGGGGGGCACAGGAGGTGACCGGGGTGCCGAGATGGGCCCTTCCTGGAAGAAGCCCGGGGCTTGGCCCTGCTCCAGGGGGCTGCAGGGGCCTCTCTCTGTGTGTCTGGGATTCCAATCTGCGCAGCTGGTGTCTGAAGACAATAAGACAGAGGCCTTCCCCGCCCTGGGCCACCCCGCCAGGGCCCCAGATGGGCTGCGGTTAGCAGGGCCTCTGCCAAGAAGGTTGGTTCCTTGGGGAGAGGTCTGCGCCGATGGGTTCAGGCCAGAGGGGCGGGGAAATGGGGTGGTCTGGGGTGAGACACACAGAATCTTGCGGCCTGCTCTCTCCTCCTGGGGGTGTGCCATGGAGACAAGCCTGGGGCACAGGGAATCTGGGTGGAAGCAGGAGGGTTGCTCTCAGAGTGCCAGGCTCCAGGGGTCAGAAATAGAAGGACGCAAAGCCTCAGGACCCATGAATGTCGGCACAGGACGGCCCGTGAGGATGCCCGTGCCACCGCCCCATCTATGTGGGAGGAGGCTGCAGACCAGAGAGGCTAGTTTAGCTTAAAGCCGGATCTGGGCAGAGAGCTCTAGCCATGTGCACAGGGTGGGGCCCAGGGAGGGAGGAATTGCAGGGGGAGGTGGCAGGTCTGCTCTCAGCAGCCTGCTCCCCCACAGCCAGCGGCCTCCCACCATCTCCATCTTCAGCCCTCAGCCTGACCCCACCCCCCCACCCCTCCCCAAGCCAGTGCTCTCTCTGCCTCCTCTCCCTCGCCTGCTCATCTATCTTCCCAGATAACCAGGTCTCCCCTCTGCCGGCCTCCTCCTCCCCCACAACCAGCTCCCCCACATTCCATCCCCCGCCTCTGCTCCTCCCCTCAATTCCAGGCTCCTTTAGGGACCCTGGCCCTCTCCCTCCCCGCTGCGTCCCTCCCAGCCCATCCAGGCCTGCGGAGCCTTCACCGGCACCTCTCCACTCTGCGTTCCCTCACAGGGACCCTGAGTCCACAGGCTCCCAGAAACCTCTGCAGGCGGCAACTGAACCTCTTCTTGCCTTCTCCCCGCCCCCAAAGAGAGAACGAAGGAGCCATATATCTTGATGCCTCCGGTGGGCTTCTCCCCTCCCCCCGGCTCCCCCCACAGAAAGCCCTGGGAGGTGGAGGAAGGAGCGGAAAGACTGAGCTAAGCCTGCAGGAAATTAAACATGAAATGAAAACAAGCTCCTCTGATGCACTCTCTCATCCTGCCCCCAGCCCCCCATTCCAGGCTGCTGATAAAGGGGGATCCCGTTTCAGCGGTGCAGAGTGGAGATCTGACCCGCCCTTGGCTCCCAGCAGGCGCTGGGGCAGGGCCGAGACCCCAGGCCCAGGAGAGGGCCGGTCTCCAGGGAGGACACAGGAAGACTGCTTCTCCTGCACCACAGTCAGGAGTGGGGAAAGAGTGACTGAAAGAAACTTCGGCAGGCGTGTGTGTGTGTGTGTGTGTGTGTGTGCGCATGTATGTGTGCATGTGCATACGTGTGGGGGGGTGTGGTGTGTGTGCATGCATGTGTGTGTTACACTTGTGCCCATACATACTTGGGGCTGGGGGGAAGGGAGGTGCAGTACACACTCCCTCCTCCCCCCACCCTTCCTACCCTCGCATGAGATACATACGGTATACTTCAGATTTCTTGAGCCTTTCCTCTAGTGAAGGACAGCAAGAAAGGCCAGGCGCTACCGTGTTTCCCCGAAAATAAGACATCCTCCGAAAATAAGACCTAGCACATAGAAAGATAAGATATCCTCTGAAAATAAGACCTAGGGCAATTTTGGGAGAAAAAATTAATATAAGACACTGTCTTATTTTCGGGGAAACAGGGTATAAATAAACAAATGTGGAGCACTCTAAAAATGAATGGAATTTCCCACCTGTCTCACCTAAGAAGCATCACTCCTGGGAGATGTCAGTACAAATATTGGCCCATTTTCCAGAGGCAGAAACGGAGGCTGTTGGCAGTGCCAGCACCCCCATGGGGCACTCCGTTCCTGGGCGACACTGACAGCCTGTGCAGAAAGCATGTCAGCTGCACAGCCCACAGGCCGCATGCCTCGTTTATGGGGTCCGTGTTAGCCTTTGGGTTTGACAGGCTTGCTGCCCAGCCTGCCTCTGGGAAGCCCAGCTCCCGCCTCTGACTCGGCCCCAGGCCATCCCTGGCTTGGAAGCCGATCCCTCTGCACCCCCTCTCCCACCTGGTGATTCCCAGTCAGGCAGGGCTCACAGGCCCTGAAGGGAGCTCTTGCCCACAAGCCTTGGGCCAGAAGTGCCCCAGGCACCCCCCATCGATCCCAGCTCCTTCACCTGCCCTGGACACCACCCCCCTACTCAGGCCCCTAGTCAGGCCAGCTTCCACCACCCATGCTCGGTGACAGGTGGCCTCCAGCCCTCTTCCCATGAAGCCCCCTTTCTGAGTGAGCGCTTACACGTCTGCCTCTGCTGACAGCATCAGGGGCAAACCCCTGCACTTGGCCCCCGAGGTCCCCGCTGTCTGACTTCTGCTTCCTCGATTCCTTTCTCCCACTGCTCCCCAACTGGGCAGTGTGCCCGGTGTCTCTAAACTCAGGCCTGGACTCTCCTCCCTCCAGCCAACAAACACTCCAGGCCCCGCTCCAGCCCTCCCCTCCAAGAAGCCCTCCCTGACTGCCTCTGTTGCCCAGCAGGGCCCTGTGATCCTCAGGCCCTTTAACACGGGGTTTCAGAGCCGGGAGACTATTTCCCACAAGAATGGTGGGGGAGGCAGAGTCAGGAGGGGAGGGCCTCTGGCTAGAAGGCCACAGGGAACCCGGGCCGTTCGGAAAACCACGTGTGTGGCGGTCTAATACAGTGGTCGGCAAACTCATTAGTCAACAGAGCGGCAAACCGCAGCTTGCATGCCGCATGTGGCTCGCAAGCTGCAGTTTGCCAATCACTGGTCTAATAGGACAATTTTCTGGAGGGGTATTCACGCTTTTATCAGCTTCTCCACAGCAGATCAGGCCACACCTCCCCATAAATGCTCACGACCAGGACATGTTTCATGTGTGTGACGCTTGCTTGCTCTAGCTAGATCCTGACACGTAGCAAAAATGAAGTTCCTGGCCAGGGTCACGCCCCTGGTTGGTGGAGGGTGAGCGAGCTGCCTCCCTGACTCTCCGCTTCGACCGTTCTAGATGGTAAGCCCTTGGGGATGCACACCGAAGCGGCGCTTGCCGGCAGTCCCGTGGCCTGCTGGGCTCCCGGTCACCGCTGAGGGCTGGGCCTCGGACCGGACCCTACGACACCTGCTTTGTCCTGCAGGTCTGGTTCCAGAACCGGAGGGCCAAGTGGCGGAAGCGGGAGCGCTTCGGGCAGATGCAGCAGGTCCGGACCCACTTCTCCACGGCCTACGAGCTGCCCCTCCTCACGCGCGCCGAGAACTATGCCCAGGTCAGTTCCTCTTCACCCCAGACACATGGGTGCCCCACTGGCTCCGTCCCCTCAGCTGCTGCACTCACCTCCTGAGGCAGCGTATCCGTTGGTTCGAGTGAGTTCTGAGGCCTCAAGGGCATCAGCTTTGAGATCCTCAGCCACTGACTTTGGCTTCTGGGAGATGTAGGTCTCTTCTGCCCCCTCGCACCCCCTCCACACCACCACCCACCAGCCCAGAGCCCATGCCCCCAACGCCCAGCTCCCCGCTCCCCGCTGATCGGGTACCCTGGAGGCTCTGGCCTGGGAGGAGCCGGAGGTAAATCAGGCGCTGGCCTCAAAGGGTCCACGGACAAAGAGACAAAGTCCGAAACTATATCTATGATCAGGAAGGCAGCAGCTGAGACGGGCTGCTCTCGGCTGCTTAGCTGTAGCCCCAACCTCTCACTGGACCCCAGATGAAGTCTGAAGTTCGAAGCGGACAGAACTTCTACCTACTGCAGGCCTGGCCCCTGAGGGCAGCCGCCAAAGCACCCAGCCCAGGCTCTCCTGGGGGCCCCTGGGGGACCTTCATGCTTAGAGAGGCTCCCAAGCAAGAATGGGCTCATCCTCATGCTGGGGAGAGCTCGTTGTGGGAAGAGGTCACTCAGGGGGTATTCCTATGGACTCCCCCCGCCCCCCCCCCCGCAACCCCCTCACCCTTGCCCCAGGCAGCTGGTGACATCTCTCCCTCCTCCTCCCCAGATTCAGAACCCGTCCTGGATCGGCAACAACGGGGCAGCCTCGCCAGTGCCCGCCTGCGTGGTCCCCTGCGACCCGGTGCCAGCCTGCATGTCCCCTCACGCCCACCCCCCTGGCTCCGGGGCCGGCGGCGTCACCGACTTCCTGAGCGTCTCTGGGGCCGGTGGCCACGTGGGCCAGACGCACATGGGCGGCCTGTTCGGAGCCGGCCTCGGCCCGGGCCTCAACGGCTATGAGCTCAACGGGGAGCCGGACCGCAAGACATCGAGCATTGCGGCCCTGCGCATGAAGGCCAAGGAGCACAGTGCGGCCATCTCCTGGGCCACATGACAGGGCCCTCCCGCCCTGGCCCGCACCCGCCCCACCTCGGGGCGCTGGCCACGCCCATGCTTTCCAGGCCCCCAGCCTCCCACTCGACTTTCCTCTTAGGAACCTGGCCCGGGTCAGGGGCCTGACCCTCAGCACTTTCAGCCACCCCAGGTCTGAGGCCCCGGGGACTGCTGGGAGGGAGGGGACAGCAGGCCCCTGTCCCTCCCCGCACCAAGGCCGAGATGCCTGCTCCCGGCCAGGGGCAGCGGAGGAAGCAGTGGTCGGGGTTGCGACTTCGCATCCATTAGAAGCTGGAGACCCTCTCCTCCATCCCGCCTGGTGTGACCACTGAGTCAAGTCTAAATTCCCGCCGAGACCCAGCAGCAGCCGCAATGCAGTCACGTCCGTCCATCCTTCTTCTGTGTGGCCCCCGGTCAGCAGCCCCAAGACTGTCTGGAGGACAGGCTGACCTGCAGGGTCAGCCCTCTGCCCTCCTGGCTCCTTTCCTCTTCTTAAACACCCCATAAAACCTGACCTCCTGGACCCCAGGCACCTGCCTCACCGTCACCCAGAGTGGAGGAGTCCCCATCCTGAGTGTCCCCAGGCTGGACACGCCCAGAAGGAATGAATGGGCCGAGGAGCGGGAGCCAAAGAATCCAGCGGTCACCAGCAGTGCTGACGTGCAGGAGGGGGACGCACCCGGAAACCCTGGATCTGGGTGAATCGCCAGGGAAGATGCAGACCCCACGGTACCCCCGGTGCTCAGGGGAGAGAAGCTTCCAGAGAGAGAAAGAACCACAGGGAAATGTCCAAGTGAGGGCAGGGCTCGCACACACACTCTGTCTCCGGCCCTGACATCCCGTTGTGGGCAGGATGACAGCGACCATGGGCAGGTCGGGCAGGTCTGTTCTCCATCCAGCTAGCCCCTCTGAGGGGGGAGGGGGTTGGGTTCTCCCTCCTGTCCCCTCCTGGTCACTCACTGGGGCAGCTGAGCAGTGTCTTGGAAGGACTTACACCTGGGACATTGGAGCCAGGGCCTGGGGGAGGCACAGGGTCAGGGGCGCGTGCGGGATCTGCTGGAGGACCTGTGCCCACGCTTGGTCTCCAGGCTGCCTTCCCATCCTCTGCCATCTCTGGCACACTGACATACCTTCCAGAGCCTTCCACAGTGACGGGGCTCCGTAGCCTTCCAGGCACAGGGCAGACAGCCCTCCTCATGCTTCTTCCTAAGGGATGGGAAGCCCCAGCCCCTTCCTCTGGCCTCTGGGAGGCTCCTAGGGGAGAGCCCAGGATGCCCTCCACAGCCTTGCCCTGCCTGTAGGAAGGGGCCTCCAAGGGGGAGGGCTAGGCCCCAGCCGTCACCAAAGCCAAGGCACACAGTATGTCCCCGTCCTCCGGGAGGTCCATGGCAGCCCCCACGCCCTGAAGTGCTTGTCTCTTACTCTCTCCCTTGGTCCCGCCCGTGAGGAGGGCCAGGCCTGTCAGCCCTGGGGCCTGGACGCAGGCCAGCCTCTTGGGTTGGGCAGATCCCCTGCCCCTGAGCTGCTCGGGGTTTACAGGAAATCGCAGTGTTCACCTCGGCCCCGAGTTCTCCTCGGCTCCAGAACAGGCCGGGGAGCATCTGGCTCTGGCCTCCCTCAGGCCTCTGTGAGCCAGGCCTCTGTGAGCCGGAACTCTGAGGTCGCTCTGCTGGAGCCACAGGGGTCTCGGACATGGCATTGGACGTCCTTGAAGGCGTGGCTTTCCGGATTTCATTTGCTGGAGGATCATGGAGTGGCCTTTTCCGTTCTGAGGGCCACTGAAATAACCAGACCCCCCCCACCTCCCCACCCCCGCCAAAAAACAAAAACAAAAACCTAGCGTAGAGAGGGAAGGAGCAAGCTGCCCAAGGCTGGGAGCAGTCCCATTTCCTCCTAAATTGGAACCTTCAAGAAGGCACGTTTTCACCAGGAGAGAGTCTTTGCACAGAGAAAGCCCCAAGGGGGGGGGGGGGGGAGGAGGGCTTGCAGTGGATCCTTCTGGAAGGGACCCCAGCACCCAATTTTCTATGTGTCTGCTTTAAGAGAAGGCCTCTGGTAGGGGAAGTCGCCCTGAGCCCTGTATTCATGATTAACGCGTCCCTGCTCATCTCCCCACAGGTGGCTACCCTCCCTCTGGCCTGTCCTCCCTGTCCTGCCCTCTAGGGCCTGCCTGACACTCTGAGAACCACATTGAGAGCTGGGGAGTTGGGGGTTATTCTAGTTAGTTCAATCCCCTTACAATGGAGACAGAAGACCCGGCTCCCAGGGAGCAGTGACTGCCCTGACAGGTCTAACCAGAGGCCAGGAAAGCTGAGAGCAGCTTGACATGCTGCCTGGGTTTGACTGCCAGGTCTTAGGGGACAGCTGCTGCATGAAGCACCCACCCCTCATCCCCCAGGGCCAGCACTCAGCTCTCTGTTCGGGTGCCTTGCCCTCCTCAGCTGCTTTCTCCTGGGTTCTTCCCCGGGGTCGGGGAGAAGAGTTAGGCCCTGGCCTTCCGTGTTTCAGGGCGGGAGGCATCCCCGAAGCAGCGCCTGGGACGGCTCAGCCCGCTTGAGGACTCTCCGGCTGGTGGCTCCTCAGGACAGCAGCAGGAGGAGCAGGAGCAGCCTGCTCTGTGGCTGAGGAGAAGCTGAAGAGTCAAAGATTCCCTTGGGCCCCTTGCCTTGGATCTCAGCAGAGATGGCGACGCAGACCTGAAGTGGCGGGCAGCCTCAACCCGCTGGGGGTGCCCCTGCTCCCAGGGCTGGACACTGAGGTGCTGCCCCCTCATGCTGTCACTGCTGCGGGGCAGGGGAGGAGGAGAGGGCCTGGGGCAGGCACTCAGAGGGGCTTGTCCACAGGCTTCCCTGGACTTGGAGGACATGGGCTTTGTCACTTCCCTTGAGTTCTTCCAACGATACTTGATTCTCAGCTCTGGCTGCTGTGCCCCAGCGCGGGGGAAGCACGGTGGCCAGGCTGGTCCAGCGACCCTGCGATGGCGAGGTGGGGCCCGGCCCATACCGCGTGGCCACGCTGGGCCCAGCTCCAGTGCCCTTTCCGCCCTCGATTCCACCGATTCCGCCGGGCGGGCGGGCGGGCGGGCAAGAGGAACTCTCCCATGAAAACAGCCACGCACCCTGCTTCCGCCCTCTCTCTCCGGGCTGGGTCATGGGGAGGCCGCCTTGGGAGACACCCTGGGCTTCTGCTCTGGGTGATGGCCCTGACTGTCAGGCTCGCTGGGGAGGACGGCTGGCAAGCTGGCCCCCAGGATAATCGTCCACGAACAGAAAAGAGGAAAATGAGGAGGCCACACAAACCCTACTTCTCAAAAGTCGGGCCGCCCACTTCACTTCCTGAAGGATGCTGGCGGCAGGAGAGGTGTCCCAGTGAACATGACCTAACCTCGCCCCTCCTCCACCCCCCACCCACCTCCCCCCACCCTTAGGTTCACAGAGCTAGGCCTTTATACTACTGATTTTGGAGGACAGTTTTCGATGTCTAACAATCTGGGTGTGCCGTGGCTGGAAAGAGAGCTGAGTGCTAGAAGGAACATGAACCTCAACCGATACTGACTTGTTCTCATTGTAAGATATGTTAACCCTGTATAAACGCAACTTTCCCTTTAGCTTAATGGCCTGGGGTGGATATTAAAAATATATATATTAAAAAATACATTAAAAATTCAGAAAAAAATGTATTAAAAAAAAAATGAGGTCGGTTCCATAAAATTTTACTGCCTATACCACCAAGTAACTACATTACAGCGAAGTATTCATAGAAACGTTCTTGCCTTTAAAGTAAGTTATTGCACTTACGTCTTTTCGGGGAGGGGAGGGACACGGAGGGGGAGGAGACCCGGGGGCCCAGGCCTGGGGCCGCTGGAGAGCGGGAGCCCCAGTCGCTCCGAGCACCTGGCTGGGCACAGCCCAGACTGTCTGTTTGGTTGTTGTTTGCAATAAACTCCTTCTCCTTCCTCCTCTCCACTGGAACCTGTCTGTTTTGTTCCCGACTTGTGACAGATGAAATGTGATCAGAGGGGCCTCTGAAATCTCACGTTAATTGAAGTCGGCAAAAAATACTAACAGTGCCCTTTTGAACTGCTGACACAGTGCAGGGTGGATTATGAGGCCTAGATTAACAACAGGTGGCCGCCCGGCTCCTGCTCCTGCGCCGGGAGGGGTGCATGGCCTGCGGGGGTCTGGAACGGTCCCCCTTTATCCCAGGGGACCCGCCTGCGCGGCCGGGGGTGGAAAGAAGCAGGGCTACCATAGTCTGCTTCTCAGGCAGCAAAATGAGGTCCCAGCAGCAGCTCCTTGGCACCCCTATCTCTGTGCTGCTTAGCACAGCCCGCACCGTGGGTCTTCCCAGCCCACGGGCTCCCTCCACGGCACCGAGTGCCGGACCGTGTCTCCAGGGGCTGTTCTGGAAGCGGGTTCCGGCCAGGACACTCGGATTCGGGGCAGGAGGCCCGGTGGCTTCGCCCAGAGCATAGGACAGGCCTCCAGCACAGGCAGGTCCTGGGCCTGGTCTCCTGCTTGGAGGCTGAGGGAACTTGTCGGAGGTCCATCCAGATGACTTTTAAAGCAAAGCTCTAGAAACACGTGATCAAGCAACAGGGCCCAGCTCTCCCGCCTTCCGCACGAAGGTGACCCCGGGGAGAGGCAGTTAGCTCCAGGGAGCCCTGTGCAGAGAGGGAGTCATCTACGTTCACCAGACAGCCTGGAGGAGGGGAGTAAGCCCTGCCTGGGTGACCAGCTAGCGGAAGGGTTACAGGTCACATGCATGCACTCACTGGTTCATGTACCGGCAGAGATCCTGTTTGCTGGTGGGGCATGGGAGGGGCAGCAGTGATGGTCTGTCTCCTCACACAGGCCCAGACTCGCAGACTCAGCAGCTGAAGAACAATAGGCCCTCCACAGACAGCCCACTCCCCGTGCACACTGTCTGCTTTCTCAGAGTGTCTAGTGCCAGCACCAGGGACAATGAGTGGGAGAGCTGACATTTCCCCCAGAAATTCTGATTCCAAACAGATTTTTTTTTTTTTTTTTTTTTTTTTTTTAGCTCAACACAGACCATCAGGCTTGAGGAAGGGCGAACTTCCGAAAGGAGCTTCAGTTTAGGACCATGTGCAAACCATGTGTTAAGGTGTTGCCTTAACTAGTTGGGAGCAAACTCCTGTGGGGTCCATGTGAGGTCTCCCCGGAGTCCTGGCTGCAATGCTGTTGCCATGCCTACTGGGATCCCTCTTTTGGCTGTACCACAAGCCCCCTCTTCAACCCTTCTCTGTCATTTCCCACACCGTACCCCTAATTTCCACACTCTGTGGGGAAGGAGGAGCTTGCTGCGGTTGTGGCATTCAGGCCGTGATGCAATGTGGAGAGAGAATGAAAATCAATGAGTGTGTGTGCTGGGGGACAAGGAAAGGAGATTGGGCAGAGGAAGGAGGCACGAAGGTAGCTCTGTTCAGACGAAGGCATAGAAAAGGACCAGCCAGGATGCCGGGTGTTGAAGTAAGACACAAGAACCCTGGGTTTAAGAATGGATTGCAACTAGGATACAAAAATAATCACCCAGAAATCTATGTGGTTTTTTTTTTATACACCAATAATGAACTCACAGAAAGAGAAACAACATCAGCAACAAAATCCCATCTACCATTGCACCAAAAAAATTAAGATACCTCAGAATAAACTTAACTAAGGAGGTAAAAGATCTATACTCAGAAAACTACAGGACATTGAAAAAAGAGATAGAGAAGAATATACCGTGTTCATGGATTGGTAGAATCAACATCATTAAAATGTCCATACAACCCAAAGCAATCTATTGATTTAATGCAATCCCCATTAAAATTCCATTGGCGTATTTCACAGACCTAGAAAAAACTCTCCAAAAATCTATAAGAAACAAAAAAAGACCCTGAATAGCCACAGCAATCTTGAGAAAGAAAAACAAAGTTGGAGGTATCACAATACCAGATATCAAGCTATATTATAAAGCCACTGTTCTAAAAACTGCCTAGTACTGGCACAAGAACAGACATATAAACCAATGGAACAGAACAGCGAACTCAGAAATCGACCCAAGCCATTATGCTCAATTAATATTTGACAAAGGAAGCAAGAGCATACAATGGAGTCAAGATAGTCTCTTCAATAAATGGTGATGGGGAAATTGGATAGATACTAGAACAAAACAAAACAAAACAAAACAAAAAAAAAAAGAAACTAGACCACCAACTTACACCATACACAAAAATAAACTCAAAATGGATAAAAGACTTAAATGTAA